GGGGAATGAAAGGTTGAAGATTTTGGTTCAAATATGGACTTCTTAAAGATTGTATGAAGTTTTGAGGTCTAATTGTTGATGTTTAGAAAAGAGGCCAAAAATAATCATAAGGACAATTTGAATGTAAGTTTGAGCTTGAAACAATTAGTGAAGGTTGCATGGAACCTGGTAACTCGTCTTAGAAATCAAATTCTAAAGCTTAGACATTTGAATGGTTAGATCACTCATCCATTTCATGATCTAGTCTAGACCATCATTATTGCTCAAACTATTGAATGATTTAGCATGCTCTAAAAGTGTATTAGGCCTAGTGAGAATCGGTTGATCATGACTCCATGAATTCGTAGGACTTACTTGGGTTGAAATTGGTGAAGACTTTTGAAAAGGCGTCAAAATAAATTTGTTGAGTTTACTCACGGTCTTCATCAACTTAGCAAGTTGTTTCTTGATTTTAAGGTTTTGATTTTGGAGTTTGGATGTTTAGGGTTTAGATTTTTTAATTTTAAAAATACAAACATCTCTGAAAATCTTCAACATCTATGCGGACTTTCGAAGCAAGTTCAGTTTCTAAGATTTTTGAAAAGTAAATTTTCAAAATTACTTTTTATTATTATTAATTATTAATTTATTAACTTTTTTTTTTATTATTATTATTATTATTTAATAATTTCTCAACATTTAGGCATAATTTTTTTAAAAAAAAATGGTTTTTATTCCCTTCATCATTTAGGTAGGAAAAAAAATTTTATCACTTTATTTTTATTATCATTTTTTTAAAGATTTTTTTAGCATTTTTTTGTTATTATTCTCTTTTATTTATTTTTTAATTATTATTTAAAGAAGAAAAATAAAAAATTTTGAAATAATTTTTTATTCTTATTATTGTTATTATTATTTAGCTATTGTTATTTTATTTATTTTATATTATTTAATAAGGTTTGTTTTAAAAATTTTTACAAAATTATCAGAAACTTTAATTTTATTACTCATTATTTTTTTTGTTTATTATTTAGCTTTTATTTTTATTAATTATTATTATAAAATAACAAATATTTATTCTAAAAAAATTTTAAGTTTTTAAACATGCATAAATAACAATAATAAAATTAAAAATGATATAAATAATATATATAATTCAAAAAAAAAAAAAAGAATCAATCAACGATCTAGTTAACGTCGACGGTTCGGGTGAGCAGTTCAGTTGAACCAACTGAGGGCTGGCTAAAGTAAGTTATCGGGTCAAGTTGCACGGATCCCGGGTCAAATCTGAGTTCACGTGCGGATCTCTCTTAGCTTAAAACGATGTCATTTTGGGCTTTAATCTTTTATATAAAAAACTTTTTTTTCAACTCATTTCTTTCTTCTCTTTAAAAAAAAATTCCTTGTTTTCTCTCAACTCTCGTCGACCAAAAACCTAGAAAATGGTCATGCGCCGCTGATTGCCATTCACCAGTCTAGTCATCGTTAGCCACCAAAAATTTTAAAACTCTCTGCAAGGCTCTTTCGACTCTCTGAGCTTCGATCTGCCATTCTTTTCATGAAAAATGTCCTCAATCAGTGTAGATCTAACCTAAAAAATTTGGCTTTTCTTTTTTATTATTTTATTATTATTTTTTTAGGCTAATTTCATTTTTTTGTTTTTGCAAGTAACTCTTTAGTGCTGGGTTCCTCATCAACAAAAATTATGTTTATTTATTTATTTATTTTGGTTTTTTTTTCTTTTGCTTTCTGATGGATTGAGGTTTTATGGGATTTAGGATATTTGAAGGTTAGGGTCAATCATGGGTTTGAGGGAAATGGTGCTTTGGGGCCCAGTTTGGGGCTAGGTTAGGTGTTTGGGTTCTTCTACTCTAGCGACTAGGTTTATTTGTTTTGATTTTTTTTTTTTTTTGTGGTTATGGCCATTTGAAATGGCATATTTATAATGGTTTCTTCTAAAGGTTTGTGGAAGAGGCTTGAAGGGGGCTATTGGTACTGGTCAGATACGAGGGTGGATACGAGGGCCATGGGTCTTGGCTAGGGCTAGGTGTTGGGGTAGTGGCTAGTTTGTTAGGAGGTGGGTTCGTGCATGGGCGTGGGTATCTGGTGCCGCTGGTTTGAATGGTTGAGAATTGGTTTCTGGTGCCACTTGGTTGTGTGGGCTTTTTGGTTTGTTAATGGGGTGCCTAAGACTAGTGCCAGATGGTAAGGTCTTCCTCTAAAGGGGTTAGTGCCGGGATATTTTTGAAGAGACTGGGGAATGGGTGCTCAGGGGCAAATGTGGGTCTCTGGTGGGGAATGAGTCTTGGTAGGGTATGGTGAAAGGTAGTTAAAGTAGGTGAATGGTGCCTTGCATGGTACCACTATCTCCTCTCTTTTTTTAATTAATTATAGGTGAATGGTGCCTTACATGGTACCACTATCTCCTTTCTTTTTTTAATTAATTATTAATATATTTAATTATTGACTTTAATATTGATAAACAAATTAATAATAAAAAAGGGTTTCATTCGATAGATCTAGACAAAATTCGATGTCTATATGCTCTATGACACAAAGTTGCATAAAGCCAAATAGGATTACCTTTTCTTTGCTATGGCCTTTTCCCTTTCTTTTATAAGACAAGCTCATGCTACCTTTTTTTGCTTTGAATTTCATTAATGCAAAACCCAATGTTTTAGATGTTGCTGATATTCCAGGCCTAGAAGACTTCAGAATTCTATTTGTTGAAAATGATGAACCAAGTGATTTAAGAGGGAACTAACCAGTAACCTTTAAAAAAAGTAGTTTAAGGTTGCTATTGACTTACCTCACTTGGACTATTCATTACTTGTAGAGAAAATTTGATGACAGATTCATGAGATCAGTTTTTTATGGAAAAGGATTTGTTCCATTTATGCTCGATTCACCCATTGTTGCAGTTGATGAAACTTTAGGAACCCGATAGATATCTAGAAGCATTAAATTTTTTTTATTTGTTAATGATGTTATAATAATTGTCTTTCTTGTCACACCACAGTAAAATCTTAATCAGTCTATTTTTGTAAAGTAGTGACAATGTAATTAGCGAAACATCATACCACAAGTTTTCTTTCTTTTACAAATGAGGTAACAATTTAGAGATAGAGAAAGGGGCTGTAGATATTCGAATTTAAACTTTAAATGTGTTGGATGTTACCTTTTAAGGGTGGTTGCATGAATTAACTAAACTAAACCTTAGGTTTAAAATAAGACAATTTACCTTGTTATTAGACAGCGTAATAATGACTGCACCTCTCATAAGGCCTACCCATCACATTATAAACTTAAAATTCAAAGAAACAACTTTACCACCTTTTCAACCCTTCATTGATGGGCTATTAATAGTCTTTTAGGTAGCTGAATTAAAAAGATGGGTCAATCTCAAATACATAAATTATTGGGGCAAGTAAAAATAAAACACCATAGTTGTTTACCAAAAATCAAATGGACAGTGTTTATAAGACCCTCAACAAAGTCAAATTTGTCATAGATGACCTACCACTATGTTTAAGGTCCGTTATTACCTTAAAGATAAAAGTATTAGCCTAATGCTTCAAACAAATAAAATAAGAATCACTATTACGTTAGCCAATGGAACAAGGCAGTTAGTAATGCAACTTGCATTGGAGACAACATTAAAATTAGGCTTGTATTCCTTTTTATTGACAATGACAACAAACATGGGGGCATTCTTACTAGGACTAGAAATTATCACCTTCTTTGCACCATCCTAAAATGGGAAAAAGCATAACTGAGTTAAGGATTCAAGCATAACATGAAAATAAGCAAAAAAAAAAAAGGTTCCAAACATACAACTTTCCCTATGTCTTGATAAACAAAAGGATGTTAATTCCAATAAATTTTCTTCTTATATGGCCATAACATAAACATATGATCAAATTATTATAGACTTACTTTTTTTGGTTGCTAATACTTTCATTTTAATCATGCTTATCCGGCACCATAACTATTCACCAATATTTAGGCAACATGCAAGTTTGAAGGCAACACTAAAAGGTGAGTAAAAGGACAAAGTTTTGCAACCATGTAGGAGTAGAAATTCATTTAATCAACAATGGCTATAATATTCGAACTTTAAATGTTAACTTGGTTTAAATTTTTTTTATACATTTTTTATAAAGGACATATGTTAATCAAAATTGCAGTATCTTTAATACCCTCTATAATCATTCAAGAGATGTAAAATATTTTTGCATTTTTCTAGTATGGGTTTCAAACCAACCAACATTGTTATGATCAAAAGTTGTTTCACCCAATTACCCAAATTTTAAAAAAAGGTTAAAACATAATTTAGTTGTAAAAAAAATATAAAATTTTGCTTAGGCTTTGTGGGTGACTTTGGATTTTGAAGTTTTTATTGCATAGATTGTAAAAACAATTAGAGATTGTTTGTCTTCTATTTTTTTCCCAGTTGAATCAAATAGTAGAGTTGAAATATCAACAGAGTATCAAATTATACATACAATTTTAAAAATTTCATAGAAACATAAATTTTTTCACAAAAAACACATACAATTACCTCTTGAATTTGATAAAGAACTACCCTTTTTATAACTTCCACTTTTCTCTTATAAAGCTCAATTTTTGCCAAAAATTATCAATAATTTTCAAAAAATAAATAAATCAACAATACCCAAAAAAAAACAAAATCTAAGCTGCAAAACCCTAAAACCAAAAACAAAAAGAAAATTCAATCAATGAAATAAAAAAAGGGGCACAAAGACCATATTAGAAAAATGCAAGAATATTTCACATATGCAAAGTCAGAAGAAAAGAAACCAGCCGAATAGAAAGGCAAAATCGAAAAACAGGAAAAGATCAAAATAAAGAAAACAATAAAAAAGAAATCGAGGAAGGAGAAAGGGAAAGAGGAGATTAAGATTCTAAAAAGATTTATAGGCAGTAATGATGGAAAGGTTGATACATCAACAACCTTTATGGAAAGGTTGATACATCAACAGCCTTTCTCCCTTCCCGCTTTTAATCGTTCCCTTTCCTTTACTCTATTGCTCCCTCTTCCTCTTTAATTTTTTTGTTTTTTTTTTATTCCTGTCTTGAAAAATTCAGAACCTTTAATTTTTACCCATCGATTAGCCCTCCAATCCATAACTTCCAGGTTTTATGTGTCCAAATATATGCGTCAATTTGTTTTAAAGATATTACTAATATAGATAACAAATTAAAAAAACAAAAAAGTTGCGAGATAACTTTAATATTAAGTTATAGATATATCTCCAAAAAAAACAACTTATCATTATCAATTTGAGTCAAAGTCAATGAACTCTTGTACATATTAAAAAATATATTTGAAAGAAAAATCAAATATTTTTATCACATAATTGATTTTTGGGTTATTATAGTGTTGAGATGCAAGCGACCGATGTCATGTTTCCAGACCAAATTATTCTCTAAACAGATTATTACAAACAGGCTTACAGCTTGGGCAACGGCACATCGTGTAGAAAACAGGATTGTTATTAGGATTAATTCCACCATGTCAACAGGATTCTAAGCTTGGGCCGAATCGTCCGCATCTCTTTCTCTTACTCCACGCTATCCTTTAACCAATCAAAGCAAGTAACGTTCTCGACTAGCTGCACTGGATGTCTTTAGATCACCTTCCCAAGACATCAAAACCCGAAAGATTCTTCTTTAGACGATGGTAAAAGTTCCGTAGTTTAAGCTACAGTGTTTTACAGCTCTGTCTATTTTAATTTTGACTTCTCTTTTCCTTCTTTTCTAAAACCCATTAAAGAATAATGAATATTCTTCAAATTGAAGTTGTTTTGGAACTCTTGTTTTTTGAGGAAATCTTGTGAATCTTGCTTTTTGTAGAAATGGATTGGTGGCAAATTGTTCAATGGATGTAATCTGACATGGGGTTCTTGAAATGTTCCAGGAATCAACTGAGAATTTCTTGTGCATAATTTTGGGGTTCTAGAATGATTTGAATGTTCACATTTTCTTGAGGTAAATGTTTTCTCTTGCTTTTTCCCAATTTTTCGTTAGTTTAAGTAGTTGGAAATAGGTTGTTAATGGAATTCAACACTTGGGTTTTGAAAAACGTATTAACTTTTTGTGGGTATTATGTAAAGATGCTGAGATTGATAGTCTTGTTAGATTTTCACTTTAGTTGGATTTCTAATAAAATTGGGAGTTGTTTTGAAATGTTTGCTGTCGGGTGAGTTATCTCTTAGATTCTTTTAAGATTTTGCTTGCCATTTAAAATTGTTGCAGAAAACTTTTATTGGGCTTTTGAATGAATCATAAGTTAGTTTTTCTAATTCTAGTTGGATGCATTGAAAGATAGCTGAAATTGAAACTTTTGTTGGTGAAAATCCAGACATTTAAACTTAATATGGGGGTTTTGGGCAATTTACTTGTGGATTATTTTTCAGTGTGTATGACTTGCGAGAAAGTTAGAAATGGCAGTGGCAAGCAAGACTAGAATTATGCTCGAGGCTTTGGTAAAAGAAGGATCATTCAAATGGTTACTTGGCAAGCAAAGCTCCTTTGCAAAGGAATTTGAGGAGCTGGAGACTTCTCCATCTGCTGGAAGGAATTGGATACCTGAACTCTCTCCAGTTGCAAATATCGTTGTGCGAAGATGCTCAAAGTAGGTTGCTTCTGCTGCTACTTTGTTGTTGCTGCCTGCATAAATTCCTTTTGCAACTTGTACCTTAATCTGATTGGAAGTCCTTTTGTTAAATTAGGTTTTCATATGCTTCTAGTTCAGCCTAGATGCATATAAAAATAATGCAAATTGCCTTTTAACTTACATATATAGTCTCCTTATGGCTAACAAAAACAAAATGTACAGAATTCTTGAAACCTCTTCTAGTGAGCTTCAGGAAAGGTTTAATGCTGAGGCACGTGAAGCTATAAAGCATAAATCACAGTATGCGAGGAACTTTTTAGAATACTGCTGTTTCAGGGCTCTTGCTCTGTCTACTCGAGTAATGGGTCATCTGGCTGATAAAAAGTTTCGACGCCTTACATTTGACATGATGGTGGCTTGGGAGGCCCCTGCAGCTTCCAGCCAAACTCTAATTAATGTAACTTTCCTCTCTTAGTCCTTTTTTTTATTTTTTATTTTTTATTTTCTTGGGAGGGGGAGAGGGAGGGTGGCGGTGGTTCAATCATCTGGCAAAAGATTCTTGCTGCATGTTTGCTTGCTTCTTTTTGTTGTTTTATCTGTGGATGTGTGCTCTACAGATCTTGTGTGAAAACTCCGAATGGTCTTATATCTTCTGTAATTAAAAGCTCTTTTCTTGTATTATACACATTAAACTGTTCCCATGTACTTGGAGGACAGATTTTCTAGTGCCATTAATTGTCCAACAAACCTTAGAATTGATGCTGAAAGTTATTGTCATCATTTTGTCTTGCTTGCAGTTAGATGGTGGTCTATCAGTTGGGGTGGAAGCCTTCTCTCGAATAGCTCCGGCAGTTCCAATCATTGCCAATGTGATTATTTGTGAAAACCTCTTTGAGGTTCTAACTATCTCAACAGGTGGTCGGCTTCATTTCTCTGTCTATGACAAGTACCTAAATGGACTGGAAAGGTACGGGCCTTTACCTTGTGAATTCTCTATATACTTTCATGCCCCTCTCTTGTTTATGTTTTGCTCCAATTATAGAGTTAACTAATAACTTTACAACTATTAACCAAATACATGTGTGTCTAACGCAAAATTTTAGAATTCAAAGATAAGAAAATTTGTGCTCTGCTTAGCTCTCATTCCTTCAAGGTTTAAATAACTTTACAACTAATAACCAAATATGAGGACATATAGCCAAACTAAAGGGATCCTAAAATAACTTCTCAAACAAGATTAAAGGGTTTGTAAAGTATGATCAGTCATCAGAAGATAAACCAAAAGTCTTGAACTGATATTCTTTTCAGAAAATGAACAGTTTATAGGAGGGCCTTGGGGACGATATTAAATGGAATTGAAAATAATTTGTCCAGTACAACTACAGGTACAAGTGCCAAATAGGCCTTATTGCTGAAAAGCTTTTTTGACAAAGGAAGTTTCAGATTAGTCAAAGTTTCAAACCCTCCCTCCCCTTTTTTTCTCTTAATTAACACTGAAACATGTCATGGAATTTTGAAATTCTGACTTGTATGGACCCACCAATGTAAGGTGTGGTGGGGATAATTCTGATATGATCTTAAACTAAGCAATTTTTTTATGAAGTGAGCATCTCAGGAGCACAACCTGCAGTGTTCTGCTTATTAATTAAACTGAAAATGTATTACTTTTCCTTGAACGTGCTTGTGATTGTAGGTATGCAGCTGACATTTCCATACCTACTGGCTATAATCATTTCATGTTCCATTTTGGGTGATTTTTAAATTGTTCTAAGGTGCACCTGTAATTTAGCTAACCAAAAAGGTCGACTTGATGGATGTAAACCAAGTTTAGTTCACATTAATGCTGAATCTAGCTTTTTGGGGAAGGCATCTGCCGGGAATTATGAAGGAATGACCTGTATATGAGTCTCAACCCAATATGTTGTGGGAAAATTTTGTTGATAGATCTTAGAAGATGTAGGGGCAGGATTACGGATAGGGAGGGACAATTATTTCTCCTTATCAAAATGATGTTGTCTTTGTAAGGTAAGTGGTGAGGTGATGAGAATTATTCTTGATAAAGGAGATGTACTTGGGTTTAACTTGAAGTTTAAAGTGCATGATGGTTTATTCTTGGTAAAAGAGTTTATTTTGCTACACTTAAATGTTAATTGATTCATTTATCAGAAGTCACTCAAGATGGTGTGCCATGTTCTTTGTCCGTAAATTACCTGGTTAATCTCTTTCTTATTTTTGTGCTAAATGAATCTGATGCATGATCTGCTGGCTTAGTCTTGACATTTTGCTTATTCTTCACCTCAACATAATTGAAACTCATAGTCAGGGTTGAGGGGTTTTATAATCCTTGATGATACTTGTTATGATGTCTTAAGCATCCAATATTATACCAATGAACAAGAAACCTGAAATTTAATATTGTGGGATAAAATCATTAGCATTCTCCCTCAAATGTAATCCTGATATTAAAAATTGAAACAAATAGGCCTATGAACAACTTGGCCTCTAATATCATGCTAAGCGTTTAACTAAGACCAATTGGCAATGGTGTGACATAACACCACTAACATGATGAATCATATAATATGGAAAGTTCTCCTCAGAAGCTTATTATAATTTAGTTACTCTCTATATATCTTTTGGCCATTGCTCTACTCCAATGCCGACTACACCTTGTTGTTTGGGTTTTTAGTTTTAAATTCATCTAAAGAAATTTCATACTACATCAAAGGCCTTGTGATTTGTGGCTGCATCTTTATTTAGTCGGTTTGCCTATCTAAATATAATATTCTAAAATTTGATCTCTATAGAGTGATAAAAAAGATGAAGAGTCAATCAGAGTCATCTCTTCTGTCTGCTGTCCGATCATCAAGAGGAGAAAAAATACTTGAGGTGGATGGGACAGTCACTACTCAACCGGTTCTTGAACATGTTGGAATATCAACATGGCCAGGTAAGTTGATCGGATAGCAAAATTTTATTCAATAAACTACCATATGATATCTTTGTTCATTGATGAAATTCATTACTGCAACATACTTTTTTTTATTTTTCTTCTTTCATTCTCTCTCTTTGTTTTTGATCAACAGCTTTGGTTGTTGATTACCACAGTGCAATATTTAGCCTTTTCTGAAATTGTTCTTACATGTCTGCAGGTCGGTTAATACTAACAGATCACGCATTGTACTTTGAAGCCCTTCGAGTTGTATCTTATGACAAACCTAAAACATATGATTTGTCAGATGATCTAAAACAAATTGTTAAACCTGAGTTGACAGGGCCATGGGGTACTCGGCTTTTTGACAAAGCAGTCTTATACAAATCAATTTCCTTGTAAGGCGTGATTGCATATTTATTTCATTTTGAATAGAACTCTGTGATACTTTGGTGTTGAATCAATCATGAATTGTATTTTATGCTTTGATTTTAACATAAAGCTTGTCTGAGAATATAATTTAGCTATTGACTGTTTATGGTGTCTCTCTTGTAGATCAGAACCAGTTGTTATAGAGTTTCCTGAGCTTAAGGGGCACACTCGGCGTGATTACTGGCTAGCAATAATCTGGGAAATTTTATATGTTCATAGATTTATAAATAAGTTCCATATTACTGGAATTGAAAAGGATGATGCACTTTCAAAAGCTGTTCTTGGAATTTTACGTGTGCAAGCCATTCAGGAAATTAGTTCCTCAAACTCCATTTGCTTTGAATCTCTTCTCATGTTTAATCTTTGTGATCAATTACCTGGGGGAGATTTGATACTGGAGACTCTTGCAAATATGTTAAGTTCAAGGGAATTAGACCGGGGTAACAATGTTGTGGCTGGAGGTGGCATGTACGCAATCTCAGCGTTGGCAATGGTTTCAAACTTAGGGTTTGTGTTTGGTTCAAGTTTAAGTAATCCCAGTGAGGCTGGACTTCTAGTGGGTGAAGTAGCTGTGGGTGAGATGAGTTTGTTGGAGAAAGCAGTTAAGGAATCTAGAGACAACTATAAAAAAGTGGTGCTAGCACAAGAAACAGTAGATGGGGTTAAAGTAGATGGTATTGACACCAATTTAGCTGTTATGAAGGTATCACAGAAGATATCACTGTTGGCTTTAGAATTTCAAAAATGTTAACCCTTCTTTGCTCCTTTTCATTGTTCAAATGAAAATAAGTTTGTTAAAAATAGCAAGTTTGATTAACTGTACTTGTTTATTAAATTTTGATTACCAAGCTAAATGTAGTTGCTGAACACTGAATGGTGCATGCACACATGTTTTTCTGAGTGACGCCATCAAATTATATCATTCAGTGTTGGTTAGCAGAGTGATCAATTTGAACTGTATTTTTGATAGTGTTGCCAACTCATATGAGGTTTAATTCTGGCTCTGCCATTCTGTGCCGTTCTGTTGTTTCTCCTGATTGTCGTTGCAACTTCCATGACTTGTACCGTTATCTAATTTTGCTTTTTCTATTTTTCTACTTGCAGGAGTTACTCTTTCCAGTGATAGAAGTTGGGAAGTGGCTTCTTTCTTTGGTATATTGGGATGATCCTCTAAATTCTTTGCTGTTCTGTTTGTTTTTCACTTTCATCATTTTCAGGTAAGATGCAATTGAATAAACATTATTTTTCTTTATTATTACTTTTTTGGTATGCACATGAGAGCAAATGTATAACTGTCTTACTGTTTGGTGGAATTATTCTAGCAACAAAACCAAGTTATTCCAACTGATAATTGACATCACTTGTAATGCCTTATTTGAGGGCAGGGCTGTCAAATATTAGGTTGACTGAAATGGTTTATTTCCAATGCCTTCTTCTGGAGTGCACTTCTTCATAATGCCTCTAATGATTGGTTTCATCCGTCTGCACTTTTTGGATAAATAATCCTGAGTTAAGCTGGAGTAGTTCTATTGATATATGGAAGTCATCCTGTGTAAATGATTTGATTCAGGTACTTGTCAGCTTAGATGATCACCTAAGCAATAGAAATATGTCGTAGACTTGATTGCAATGATTGAAGGAAGTTTTTGTGTGAAAGAATAGTAAACTTTGAAGTAGAAAATGTTAATCCATACTGTACCACAAGGGGAAGGTTCTTTGTCTTGTTGCTCTCTTGTATATGTAATTTGAGGATGGGTATACGTAATTGGTTGATCTAAATAGAAAACATTTTAGCATAAAACTCTAGAGTTGACTTCATAGTGATCTTCATATCTCATTAGGTTTCCTTGCATGAATCAGACTAACTGGAATTCATATGTTGTTCATTTCAGGGGATGGCTTGGTTATGCCTTTGCATTGATGCTACTCTTTTTTGCGATATTTATGGTTCTTACACAATTTTGCAACCAAGGCAGGCCTGTGGATGAAATGAAGATAATAGCACCTCCACCTATGAACACAGTGGAGCAGCTTTTGGCTGTTCAGAATGCGGTATCTCAAGTTGAACAGCTTGTCCAAGATGGAAACATAGTTCTTCTCAAGTTCCGTGCCTTGTTGCTGTCCATTTCCCCACAGGTTGTACTCTCTTAGTTTGTCGCTACTTTTCAGCATGGTAGAATCTGTTGCTTTCTTATCTTTAAACTGATCAGCTGCTTGTCTTATTGTATCATTTTTTTTTTTTAACTCTTAAACTTAAATAATAATCTAAAACTGATGAGACTAATTTTATAGTGTGCTGACTTTCCCGCTATGATGTTAATCTACCAGGCAAGCGAGAAATTTGCAGTCGCTCTTCTGTTTGCAGCCTTGATTCTGACTTTCTTGCCTAGTAAGTACGTGGTGCTCCTCATCTTTTTGGAGACATTTACGAGGTATTCACCGCCAAGGAAAGCAAGCACTGAAAGATGGATGAGGAGATTGAGGGAGTGGTGGTTCAGCATCCCAGCAGCTCCAGTGGTCCTTGAAAGAGAAAATGAAGATAAGAAGATAAAGTGACAGTGATAAATTTTTTTTTTTGTTTTGCTGTACATAATTGTTTGTGTATGTATTGATTTTGTATCACAGAACTCCAGAAATGTAGATCTTACAAATGGAAAAAAGAGACACAATAAGAAAAAAAAAAAATAAAGTCGTTTGTTTCTCTTGGACAGGTATCAAAAGGTGCCTGACTGTCGTATTCTTTGTTGGAAACTTAAATCTCTATTTTGGAGATTTTAACTGTTAGAAATTTGATTATAATGGCTTTTCAAAAATCAGAATCCTCATTTCAATAGTAAAACCAAATAATTAAAACTACCCAAAAATTAAATGAAAATAATTAATGAACAAAAGACTGGGGATTCATTTTAGTGAACATTAAAATTAGTTTTGATGAAATTAAAAACAACTGTAAATATTAAATTAATTAATATAATAATAAAATTAATTATTATAATAATGATATTAAAATCAAGGGTGTAATATACGTTTGAAAGTAAAAATAGCAATGAATTGTAATGTGACATTAAATATATTAAATTTAAATTTATATAAAATATAAATATTAAATTATTTGACATTTATAAAATTAATAAATTATTAAAAATTATTAAAATTATTTTTATGTCAAATAATAATTTTTAAATAAATAATTAAAAAGTAATAAAAATGATTTTAATATATCAAATATTTTTTTAAAATTTTTTTATAATAATATATTTACAAAATTTAATAATAATTCAAAAAAATAATAATATTTTTATATTAAAATAATAATTATTTTTATTTAAAATAAAGTTTCAAAAGAATAAACAAATAGATGAAAAAAGCCAAGTGAAATGAGTGCACTATAATTAAAAATTAGAAAAAAAAAATAAAACATGGTCTTTTTTAGAAAGGGGGCTGTGGTGCGAATGAAAAATTTCACAGAAAACTCTTACCTCCAGTGAAAATTTGAAGCTACGATGAGAATTTAGTGCTTAATCGCATTGGTAGAATGTTACCCAAACGGTTTGTCACAGTTCAATCGCATAAAAAAACACATTAATCCCACCGAAATAAGGATCAGTTAAATTCAAATGCAACCTCTAATGATATATATATAAAAAAAAAAAGATAAATTATGTAAAAAATTTTATATTTTGCTAAAACTTAAATTTTAATTCATATATTATAATTTATGTAAATTTAGTCTATATATTTTTAATTTTGTTAAATTTTTGTTGTTAAAAATATTAATGATGTGAATATTAATTTTATTGATGTGACATTGATTTTATTAATGTAACAATTTGGATAAATGCAATCAATTCAAAAAAATTTTGAAAATTTTTTAAAAATTCAAAATAGCAATTTTTTAAAAAAATAAATCTATTTTTTTAAAAAATCAAAAAATATAATTTTTTAAAATTTTAATATAGTTAAAAAAATAAGAAATTTAATATTTGTAAAAATTCTAAAAAATTCTAAAAATTTCAAAATATTAATTTTTTAAAAAAATTAAATATGTCAAAAAATAAAAAATATTATTTTTATTAGTAATTAGACTAACATTAATAAATTCAATTTTTATTAGGATGAGATTTTTATGAAATTATACTAAAAAGATTAAATTTTAAATTTCATAAATATAAAAATTATTTACATAATTTAATAATTGATTTTATTTATCGAAATTACAACGTAAATAAAGTTAACTTTACATGAATATTTTTAACAATAAAAAATTGATAAAATTAATAATTTAATTAAAATTATCAAATCAAAATAATATAAAAATAAAATTTATATAAATTATAATATAATTCTAATTTTAGCAAGAGTACAAAAGCTCTTGCATAATTTAAAAAAAAAAATCAAAACTTTAACAATATGAAATAAAATAAAGCTCCTCAAAGTTAGTGTTATTATATATATATATATATAAAAAAAGCTAATAATTCAAGTATAGAAAGTCAATCGAACTCAAGTCGTGTATCTCCTTGATTTAGTAATAATTCCGTCTCGTTCTCATCGGGATCATAAGCAACAGCTTTGAGAACTCTCAATAATAATTTCACACTCTTCAAGAAGCTTCCCTTGAGCCTCATCTGTCACATATTTTAGCTTGAATTATTTCCTAGTTCCCTACAAACTCGTCTCATCATCGCGTCGCACAATGTCACACCTATGGTGCCACCACTAAAAACCAACATTACTCAAGTACATAGCAACAATTACCTTAGCATACTCTGCAATTTCACCACTAAACTCAGTCCGTAAGTCTTGTGACTCTTGAACATCGACTCTTTTGATGTTCAAGATCAACCTTTAATCAGACAAAGTGCTCGGCAATAAGCAGGTGCTTAATACTCCAAAGCGTAACATAGCATAGCAGCTATTTTAACTTGAATTGTTGCCTTATTTCCCTACAAACTCTTTCTGTTGTCACACCTATGGCCACCACCATTAAAGAGTAACATCACTTAAATACATAACAATGATGCTTACTTTAGAATACTCTACACAGTTTCACCACTAAACTCATCTCATAAGTTCTGCTCCTCTTGAACCAGGAATTGACTCTTTTCGTGTTTAAGATCAGTCTTTAATTAGACAAGATACTTAGCACTCGATACACCAAATACTAGCCAAACAAAATACTATACACTTACATAACACATCACCCAGTATTCCAAATCTTAGTCAGCCAAAGTACTGCACACTAGCATAGCACATCACTTGTATTTATAAAAAAATAATAATAAATATTTGATAAAAAATTGGAAAAAGAAAGTTCAAAAGTATATATATTAGTCGATAGTAGCTCAAGTCTGTATTCTAAATAGGAATGCATTTATTTATACATATTAACAGATAAAAAAATAAATATAAAAAAAGTTCAAAAGTATCAATTGGTCAATGGTAGCTTAAAGTGTGTATACAAATCAGGGGCATATTTATTTGTAGTAATGTTACGTTAAAGAGTAACATCGCTCAAATTCATAGTTGTCATACTTACATTAGCATACTTTACAATTTCACCATTAAATTCGTCCCATAAGTGACTCTTGATCTAGGGATTGACTCTTTGAAGTTTAAGATCAGTCTTCAATTAAACAAGTCTTCAGTAACTCCTTGGAAATTTAAATCAGCCTTCAATTAAGCAAGTCTTTAGTAATCAAACAAATGCTCAGCACTCAGTACTCCACAGCTTCCACTCATTTGTCCAAAGACTGGCCAAACAAAGTACTGCACACTCGCATATCAGATGTGCTGTGATAAAAACATAAGTCAAGTGTTAGAAAAAAAAATAGGAAAAAGAAAGTTTAAAAATATAGTATTAGATTAAGAAAAAAAAAAAAAAAAAGAGACAAGAAAGTGTTTGATAAAAGAATAAGAAAAGTAAAGTTCAAGTGTGTATAGGAATGACGGCACAACTATTTATAATTGAAGCACCATTACATTATGGTTGAGATTGTGCCAAATGGACGGCTCTTACATTAATTTTAAAGTCCTAATGTTACAGAATTGGGGCTTAGGAGATTATGCGACTCTACAAGAGGTTCCAAAACTATCTGTTACAGTGTTTGCGCCTAAGGCCTTTCAAACTCAATGAAATCTTACAGCACACATATTCTTCTCGTTGGTACCGACTGTCTACGAGGAGTAAGAATCTGAAGGAATAAAAAAAAATAGTCGATGATAAAGGAGGGGAGTTTGTGCTCCGATTCTAAAATCAGAGTTCGATTGAGAAGGAAAGTAAAACTAAATATAAGCTTGGAAGCTAAAGGTTCTAGGTGGTTTAAGAGTACTTGAAAAGGATAACTTATATGTGTAATGGGAGACCTTGAACTTAGATGGCCCAAATTCAGTGTAAAATAATTAGGGCTGATGTCATAGGCATAAACTTAGTTGGCTGTTGACGGTTCACTCGAAATAACAAATCAATATTCTTATGTGTCAACAGGTGATTGCTGAAGTGGCTAACTGTCATACCACTTGAAGATTTATATCAGTATAACATTTCAGCTCGACGAAAATAATCAAAATGTCTCCACTTGAGAGGTAACTTAAACTCTGGATGGAAGAGTCCAATTGGACATTCTAACACTAAAATACCCAAACACTCTCCTCAGCGCCTGCTCGCATACTCTGAGACTTGATCATTGTCTTGGGCTTCTGTGCACATCTAGACTTAATCTCTTTGGGTCTCCAACCCAGTCTCACTTGAACAAATACCTGCACTGGTTTCGGAAAGAATCCATGGCTTTGGACCAATGCACGGACCGTAACACCTCCACCTTGTCCTCGATACCACATTCCAACAATTGAAAACTACTTTAAACTATATTTTGGAGATTCCTAACAGTTAGAAACTTAATTAAAATGTTTTTTCAATCATAAACTTGAAATTTTATTAGTGATGGCTTCTGAGGGAAACATGTAGCGTGGTCACCTTTATGCTGTAAAGTAAACTCTATTTTGTGTATTCTAAGATCATAACATAAAGTGGACTAGATTGAAAGTTGCATTGAAAAACATATCAGATTTTTATGCTTATGGTCTCTTATCCTCAGCATTAGAAGTGCAAATATTAACAATCACATCACTTTTCCTTTGATTTAGTAACAAATCCATGTCTAATTTTCAATTTTTTTAAATTTCCATCAGGAACGGAAGGAAGCTTTCTTCTTGACGACAAAGAAAATATAAAAATTATAGCAATTGAGACTTAATCTCATCGATTCAAACAAAATCATCACAAATAGAATCCCAAATATAAAAAGGAAGCTTCAGAAAGCCAAGGTCAGCTCTACAAATGAAGTTAATCCATAAATTTGATAGAAATAAATAAACATTAAATGCAATATAAAAATTTATTTCTCGTAAAAAAAAACAAATATATAGTTCCATGAACAAAATCAAAACCTTTATTTGCGCCATAAAATCAAATAGCTAAAACTACCAAAAAACTAATAAAAATAATTAATGGACAAAAGATTCAAATGATATAGTTTCTTTTTTAAAGATCAAAACTTAAATAATCACGCAGCTCATTCATGCCCTCAAATTTGGTGCGAAAACTATGAATCAGTGTAATTATAAAAGGGCCGATTATTGAGGCATAGGAATCAGCCGAAATCGGCGTCTAAACTGGAAAATTTGTAAAAAAAAAAAAAGGAGATTGTGGTGGGTCAGACAAAGTTGAAACAAAACATGAATTCACTTGTATTTCACAGTTTTTATCTTTTATAACCGATGATGATTCATTATCATCATTGTTGATCCTCTTGCTGTCTTCCTCGGCTTAGGCGGCACCCTTCTCCGCCTTGGGT